TGTACCGGCCCACGGTTGACTTGGAGCAATAAACGAAAAGGCTGGGCCAACACAATGGTTAGACTGAATAGAGCAATGTGTAGTATTGAATGGAGAACCACCTTCCCTGATGGAGCTGTTCGGAACCTTCTTTGTACATACTCAGACCATTCTCCCATGATGGTATTCACTCAAGGTAAGTCTCCTTTCAATCCCTCTTGTAAACCATTTAAATTCTTGGCAGCTTGGATTACTCATGAGGGTTTTAGCTCTGTAGTGAATACTAGCTGGGACAAACCAGCCTCCTCTTTTAGTCAAATTTGAAATTCTAGCCCATGATGCTAGTGTTTGGAATAAAGAGGTCTTTGGAAACATTTTCAGAAAAAAAAGATGGTTGTTAGGGAGAATTGAAGGGATTCAGAAATCCCAAGCCCAAAACTATTCTCATAATCTCCACAACCTTGAAATTGATCTTGTGGATCAGTATAACAAAGTCCTTTATTAAAAGGAGCTTCTTTGGTTTCAAAAATCTCGAGCCAAATGGATTACTTAAGGGGAGAGAAACACCAGATTTTTTCATCTTACCACTCTGGCTAAACGTAAGAGAAGGAAGATTAAAATGCTTAAAAATGATAGTGGTGAGTGGGTGGATCAACCTGCTCATATTAAAGATTTGATTCTTAGTTACTTTACAAATCTTTTTAACCAGTCTCCCAACTGTTCTCTGGAGCACTGGAACAATTTGGTAGCTTGTAAGTTGACTCTTGAGGATAATACTGAGATTACTCGAGCTATCATTGATGATGAGGTGTGGAGGGTTGTGAAGCACATTGGTGCTTTTAAAGCCCCTGGATGTGATGGGTTCCAAACTATTTTCTATCATAAATTTTGGCTTGTTATTGGTAAATCTGTTTGTGTTTATGTCAAAAACTACTTTCAAACTAACCATATTCCTAGTGATGTCAACAAAACCTTAGTTTCTTTGATCCCTAAGATTGATAATCCTGAGAATATAAAACAGTTCAGACCTATTAGTTTATGTAATGTTTCTTATAAAATCATCTCTAAAATTCTTGTTAGTAGGCTCAGGCCCTTCCTTAATAAGATTGTGGGACCTAACCAGAGTAGTTTTATCCCAGGTAGAAATACCTATGATAACATTATCATGTCCCAAGAAATTTTACATACTTTGAATCTTAAGAAAGGTAAAAAGGGGGGTATGATTTTAAAAATTGACTTAGAGAAAGCTTATGATAAAATTTCTTGGGACTTTATTAAACATACCCTGGAGGATTTTAACCTGAACTCTAACCTCATTGAACTCATTATGTGTTGTGTTACTTCTACTAGCACTGCTATCCTTTGGGAAAGAGAACCTCTGAAGGAGTTTAAACCTCTTGGAGGATTGAGGCAAGGAGACCCCCTCTCTTCCTATCTGTTTGTTCTTTGCCTTGAAAAACTGTCCAATATGATTAGCCTTAAAGCTGAGGGGAAAAGTTGGAGAGGTGTGGAAATTACTAGAGGAGGGCCAGTCTTGACCCATATTCTCTTTGCTGATAATCTTATGCTAATTGGACAGGCTAATATTAAAACTTGTGAGACAATCAGAGAGGTTATGGATGAGTTCTGTTGTATCTCTGGTCTGAAAATTAACACACATAAGTCTAAGCTCTTTATATCTCCTAATGTTGATGGAAGGAGAGCTAGAGAGCTGAGTACTCTATGTAGGATTCCTTTTACTCATGATTTAGGGAAACACTTGGGTGTGCCCCTGGTTCATGGTAGGCTTAATAGAGGGTTGTTCAATGATATTGTGAGTAAAATGCAAAAAAGATTGTCTGGATGGAGAGCTTCCACCTTATCCATGGCTGGTAGAGCTAGTCTTATCACATCTGTGACATCTGCTATTTCTAGTTACACTATGCAAACTTTGCTTCTTCCTAAATCTGTTTGCAATGATATTGACAAGCTGAACAGGAACTTTCTCTTGAGAGATACCATGGAAAAACACAAAATACATCTTGTAAATTGGGATGTGGTTTGCAATATTAAAAAGAAGGGTGGTTTAGGGATCAAAAAAGCAAGGGATCAAAACCTTGCTTTGCTCTCTAAACTGGGATGGAATCTCATCAGTAATAAAGAAGGTCTTTGGTGTGATCTTCTTCATATGAAATACCTATCTAAATCTTCCTTTCATAACTGGAAAAAAGGTCGAAATGCATCCCATGTTTGGAGAGGCATTTGGGCCACCATAAATTGTTTGAGGAGAGTTGTGAAATGGAAAGTGGGTGATGGTAACGCTGTTAATGTTTGGAAAGATTGGTGGTGTGGAGAATGTTCCTTTGAGAGGACTGTCCCAAGTACTCTTCCTCTATCTCAGAACAATGTCACAGTTTGTGGCACTGTGAAAGAGCTGATAGAGGAGGATGGTCATTGGGATGAAGCTACTTCACCCCTCTTGGCTACTGCAGTATTGACATCTGGTCCCCCCAACAATCTCCACAGGGATTTAACTATGTGGAAGGGGGCTCCAGATAGGATTTTTTTTGTCTCCTCTGCCTATGAGGTTTTGTTGCACAAAAATGATAATGATGAGGATTGTAGTTGGTTGTGGAAACTCAGACTACCACAGAAACGTAAAGGCTTCTTGTGGATTGTGAGGCATGGTAAATTGCTTACCAGTCAAATGAGGCTGCACAGGGGCTTAACTTAGGATGACCACTGCCCCAGTTGTAATATGACTGAGGACAGCCAACATCTTTTCAGATGCTGTTATAAGGCCAAAGAAATTTGGCTTGCTCTTTTTCACAGACCTTGGTTCCTTGAAATGCGAAGGAAAAGTTGGATGGATTGGTTCATGAGTAATGTTAAAAATAAAAATCATTTTAATACTGACCTCCCTTGGTATCTAGTGTTTACTGTAACCTTGTGGAAAATCTGGAAGAACAGGAACTTGTATGTGTTTGAAAGAAAACCCACTAGTTACCAAGAGAGTGTTAAGAACATTTTGGATTACTCTAGAGAGATTCATCTTGCTTTCCTTAATTCTATTCCAGCTTCGAGACCAACTTATCAACTTATTTCCTGGTTATTACCATCTGTAGGATAGCTGAAACTCAACACTAGTGGCAGCAGAAAATCAGGAGGAGATGGAGGCTTTGGAGGCCTGATTAGAGATGAAAGAGGAGCATGGGTTTGTGGATATTATGGTAGACTTCAGCCAGGAACAAGTTTGGAGGCAGAGTTGTGGGCAGTCTACAAGGGTCTGACAGTGGTTCTACAGCAAGGTTTAAATGACGTGCTCATAGAAACAGATGCAGCTTAGGTGGTGCACCTGCTGCAGGAAGAGATAGGAGACAAATGCCCTTTCAAGCATCTAGTGGAGGATACAAAAATCTTACTCAAAGGATGCAACTGCACTGTCCAACATGTTTGGAAGGAAGCAAATCTGTGTGTTGATGCTCTTGCTAAACTTGGAGCAGCTCAACCGGAGGACATGCTAGTGGTGAAAGAACCCCTAGCTGAGATTAGAAGCTTGCTTGTTGACGATATGCTAGGACGCTCTATGGAAAGGGCTTAGTCCCTTGTTTTATTTCCGTTGTAACAAAAAAAAAAAAAAAAAGAATGGCTTGTCATTTGGCACAAGTACATAACCTTTCGAACATTGAGATTGAGGGCGACAAAAAAAAAAAAAAAAAGTCTTAGTTTGTTTTTTATTTTTTTATAAAGTTTTTCCAAAAAGAAAAGTAATTTTCTGATTTTATTACGAAATTTTTAATTTTGAAAATTTTGAAAGAATTTATCTTTAATAAGCATATAATTTTTCAAAATAGTTACTTTTTAAATCTTTCTAGGGTAGAAAAAAATTGACTTGGCAAGTTCAATTTGGGGTTTTTGTTGACTAAAATTTATAAAAAGATAAAATAAGTTAAAATAATCAATAAGACAAAATGTTACATCAAATCCATAATTATTTTACTTTTTCTTTTACAAATGTCATATCTAATTATAAAAAAATCCAATCCCCTTCTCAAACATAACAATTTTAATCTACTAAAATAGTCAAAAAATAAAATAACCTACTAAAATAGCCAATTTCTCAAATGAAGCCAATGATATGCATTAAGAGGAAGTCTCATATAATATGAGAAATGTTATGGGTGCACCACCTACCATATGCACCATATCATAAAATGTGTAATTTTATTATAAAATATATAATTTTATCATAAATTTCATAATATTAATTACAAAATGCGTAATCTCGTTATAAATTGACATAACAAAAAATATTGTAATCAAGTCACAAACTTTTTCAGCATCAATCATAAAATTATGAATATTTTGTTATGTCAATTTTAGACGAGATTACATATTTTATAATTGATGTTATAAAATTTTATAATAAAATTACACATTTTTATGATAATGTTACAAATTTTTTACCATGTTCCAATGTCATAAGGCCATGTTTGCGAAGCCTCTTAAGGGCCACATTTGTGGGATTAGTATTTTTATGACTAACTATGCTCTTATTTTATAAAAATAACAAAATTACATATAATAATTTTTTTTACATAATTTCATAGATGCAATCCTAATAAACTAATATGATTATATTAGTGCACAAACTAATGTAAGCCACCATTCTAATAATATCATTACTATACTTATAACCCACCAATCAAACATGGCCTTACAGGTAAAATATAGAGCCAACTGTCTGCCCCATTAACTTACAAGCTTTGTCATACTCTTTTTCGATCTTGGAGATTCACCTTTTATACATTTCCTTCTTGTTAAATGCTCTGTTTTATCACTGAAACCAAACTGACTACTCCCAACAGAATATAAATCAAGCAATCAGGATCCTCAGGGGATAAAGGATGATTCAGTCATACTATTAATTATGATTCCATCACAATTTCTGAGAAAAACCGATCACTACTCAAACGATAATGCATAGATTTAATGAAAGTTTAAGAGGTTTTATAAGCAAAATGAAATAAAAGGAGGCCTTTCTACAAGTCTCTGTTCTACAGAGAATACAAAAAGGGTCAGGCATCAAAAAAACAAAAGCTAATTCTGTGAAAGTTATGCAGGAGCTGATGGTAGTCCCGCAGCAGAGCTTTCCTCACCTGTTTCTTGGTCTGTCCCTGTGAAGATCATGTATAGTTTGTATTGAATCAGATTCAACAATTAAGTGCAAAAAAATTATATCATGCAAAGAAACCATAATTACTGAATATAATATGATTTTGAGTAATTCTACATTGTCCACAACGACTATTTATTTTCCAAATTAAGAGTTGCATTCTGGTTTAATTAAATTTCCTAGAATGTATTGAACTCCTCTTTGCCTATAATTCATAATTCCCATCATTTTAACAATGAGAACTATCAAAAGTTTCAAAACATTCTCTCTGACTTCACTTTTGGAAGTTCCTATCAAATGAATGATTTGAAAGTGAATTCTTTTGAGGTTTAAAAGCTCTACATGAGTTGCAGGAGGACTATTGATGCTCAAGTTCCAAGCTAGAGCTTCAGTAAATAAACATAATTTGAGAAACCTGATAGTTTCCTTTAAAAATTAAAACTTTCTACAGGGAATCCCATAAATTAAATTGCAAAAACTGGTTTGAGAAACATTTCACGACTATCCAATCCAAATTATTACAAACAAAACCAATCTAAAAATTACCATTTCAAGGTGTTAGAAGTTCTTTCCATTAAATAGTGAGTAAGTCAGCATCGAATCTCAGCTATAAACCAATCTTTCCAGCTGGGAGAAAGTTACCTTGGATAGAAAGGATAATTTTACAAAAACAGGTCTGATTACAATGAAAAGGTGTTTTGGTTCACAATTGTTTCATGATCCTAGAATGTAGAATACAAGCACTAAATTACATTTATGTTTTTCAATTTCATTAGCAAACAAATGGCACAAGGACGTATATGGGCTCCCTCCAAAAAATCTCCACACTGAGAACACAACAATTTTGAGTAACCAAAGCCCCATATGCATCTTCATAAAACTAGCCACAGGTTAATTAACGACGGATCACAATTACCTAATTACATATTTCTTGAAAGAAGACTTCACTACATATATATCCAGCTCAATACTCTATGCAAACAGGTAACTAATAAAGGAATGGTTTTACCACAATGCCTCCATTTCTATCATTTTACCACAATGCCTCCATTTCCTGCTTCCTTGTCTTGACCTTGACCTTGAGCTTTCGTCCTACCCAAAGCCCTACGACACAAGACAATACACATAAGAAAAGAAATAATACCAAAGTTAAAAGAAACTATTACTCCCAATGGAGCTACCGATGTAAATTTCCGCAAACTGATCGTTTTCTCCTAGAACATAATTTATGCATAGCCACTAAGTCATGGCAATGGATTAGCATGAAAAAGATGTTGCCTTGATTCAACATAAAGTTTTGGTGTTCAAAGTAGACATATGTCTATTTCAGGTACGAAACACAGAGAAAAGCAATAGCAGTAAACTAATCAAGAACAAGTAAGAATCTTAACTTGCCTTTTGTTCCCATTAAAAATGTATGTTGCCTGTTCTTCCTACTCTTTGTTGCTGTTCTTTTTTGTTCGGTTTCATTAACAGATCCATGCCTCCCTGAGAGTCCTTTCAACCCCCTGACTAATACCAGGCTCTCAACATAGGTAGCCACATAAAAGAAGCAGCCAACACCATGGATACCAAGATTCTTTGTTTCTTTTGTTTTAAGGTCATAAGAAACCAAATTTTCACTTCTTTCCAACAAGACTTCACTGTTCTTTCTAAACCCAATAACCGGCCCCAAACTTTGCTGATAATCGATGATAGCAAATAGTTTAGTCCACGACTCAACTACACCATACTTTTCCATCACCCACATGTCATATCCTTTGTTAGCACTAGAGCAAACATGATGCATCACACAAAGTGATTCCCCAAATACGTTGATCTTCAGGTTTGTCCAGCGCTGGGCAGCCAAGCTATCTGGTAGAAAAACCTGCCGGAACAGCTCATCACACATATTGAAAGACACAATCAAACTGCGGCGAAAACTTCCATTTGTTTTCCGATCATATGCAATCCAATGTACAGCCCCATTGATATAAACCTGTGGTGAGCGCTTGGGAATAATGCTTTGAAGACCACAATAACTAATGCTTTGCCAACATCCCCTGCTGAGCGCGTAAAGCTCAACCTCGGGTGGAACAATGTCAAAACCATCATCATCTTCGACATAGGTAACCCTAACCACTTTACAATCATGATTGATTGAATCGAACCCAAACCCAATTGAATGCATAAAAGGGCCATGGGTTTGAAAAACAACATTGGGTCTTGGGAGGTTAAAAGATTTTCTTCTTCTTCACCTATCGTTTGCACAGACGATGAGAGAAACCTCTGCCTTACTTTATTAGGGCTCGATTGGCGCCAAAAAGTTTATCGTACGCTATGAAATGTTTATCAACCTCAGGCCATTTTTTTTTAAGATTATTTTATTTTTATCTTTATACTTTGTCACGATTTTCAATGACGTCCAGACTATTCTTATTTTCATGCGTACCCATATACTATTTAAGTTACTATCAATTTTGCCCTACTGTCAGATTTGAAACGGAAAAGGTTAAAAAAAATTACATTTTGAGCCCAAATTTCAAAAGAAAGATGCAGACTCACTCATTCCTACAAGCAAATCACTACTAGCAACCACCACTTCAAGCTCTCTATCTCCTTTGTCATAACTCCGTTTTGCCTCATTTTTATGTCATTGGATTTAACTCACGGTCTAGTTTTCGTATCATATCTCACACGTCTCGTTTTTCTTTTTTTTTTGCATGCTATTGGAGCTCCGAAAGTTGACAAAAAAATAAGACTTCTCTTCTTGTTTTCGACTTTCTTCGAGCCATCTTTCGAATTTCATATCTTTCTCAATTCTTGACGCTTCTACTTCATTTTTTCTCCATTCTTTTCAACTCACTTTCTACTTCGCCCTACACTACCCTGCTTTCTCACTTATTCGTATAATGGATGGTTTTGGTATGCCGAAAGTTGTTTGAAAACTAATTTAAAAAATTTCAAAACATTCATCTTCTGTTTCTTTCTTCTTCATCTTCCTCATTCTTCTTCTTCTTCTTCTTCTTCACTTATAACATAATGTGGAACATGGTTGTAGATGGTAACAGAATTGGTGATGGTGGTGGTGGTGAAGTTGGTGGTTTGGGTAGTGATCTTCTTCTTCTTCTTCAATTATATACATAAATATCATCTTTTCTACTGGAATTTTCTTAGTCCATTTGAATGGAATACTGTCCCCATTCAGATTTGGATTGTCAATGAGATGCAAACCTCAACTGTTTTGCCAAGAACAAAAGAAATTTGTATTGTTAAGAAAAATCTCATAGCAAATAGCTAATTTTGTATTAGAAGAAAGGTTTTTCCTGTTATAGCCATTGATGTCAAATTACAAATTAATGGGTACCTATTAATTTCTCTATTTGCTATGATTGCTCTATCATGATATAAATCTAAGCATGTCAAATAAGAGTTTTTCTCTCAGTTGAATATCCTCTAGGCTATCTCTTCGAAATTACACCTATTTTCAATGCAGCACCATACACATTACAGGCACTCAACTGCCTGCCTTGTCGATTGACCTCACTAATTAAAATGTTGAAAGAATTCTTTGTGGGGACTGAACTTCCCCAACGCATGAGGACTAATACCGACATTGCCTCTTCCACTTTTCCTACGATATGAAGTGCTCGAATGACATTGTTGAACGTGATATTCTTTGGGGTATATGCAATCTCAACCATCAACTTCACCAACATCACCACCTGAACCACCAACTTCACCGCCACTGAACTCCATTGCCACCAACACCAACCATGTTCCATATCATGTTATAAGTGAAGAAGAAAAATAAGAATGGGGAAGATGGAGAAAAAAGAAACAAAAGATGAATGTTTTGAAATTTTCAAAATTAGTTTTTGGACAACTTTCGGCACACCAAAATAGCCAATTATACGAAGAAGTGAGAAAGCAAGGTATTGTAAGGCGAAGTAGGAAGTGAGGTGAAGAGAATGGCAAAAAAATGAAGTAGCGTCGTCAAGAATTGAGAAATATATGAAGCTCGAAAGATGGCTCGAAGAAAGTCGAATATGAGAAAAAGAGTCTTATTTTTTTATCAACTTTTGGAGCTCCGATATCATGCAAAAAAAGGAAGAACGAGACGTGTGAGATGTGATACAAAAACTAGACCGTGAATTGAATCCAACGACATAAAAATGAGGCAAAACGGAGTTATGACGAAGGAGATAAAAGGGCTTGAAGTGGTGGTTGCTAGTAGTGGTTTGCTTGTAGGAATGGGTGGGTCTGCATCTTTCTTTTGAAATTTGGGGCCAAAATGTAATTTTTTTCTAACTTTTTCTGTTTCAAATCTGACGGCAGAGGCAAAATTGATAGTAACTTAAATAGTATAGAGGTAAGCGTGAAAATAAGAGTAGTCTGGGGGGTCATTGAAAATCGTGACAAAGTATAGCGGCAAAAATGAAATAATCTTTTTTTTTTTTGTTTCATGCATACACAATGTCAAAGTAATTTTAATTTCCCCGAGTATTCCGATTTGATATAAAAATATAGCAGGAATTATACAAAATTATATAGAATTAATAAATTTTACCCAGCAGGATCAGTCAATTTTATCACCCAATCAGTCCAATCCAACTCACTCACCTTATCAAACCACACAGGTTGAATTGATGCGAAATGTCTAATTTTTTTAACATATCCCTAAACATAACTACCCTTCCACACCAAAAAAATAAAAAAAAATCAAAAAAAATACAATTCGAGGCATTCAAGCCTCGATTTGTCGATAGCACTGCCATTATTGAAAATATCTTTGTGTTAAGTTGCTTTTTTTCTTCTTTTTTTTTTCTTTTATTTTATTTTATTTTATTTTTCATGCTAAAAGACAAAATAAAATTGTTTTTATTGTAGTTGTCCAAAATATGGAAATTATTAGATAGTTTTGGGTGGTGTTTAGTTTATCAAAAAGTTTAGGAGTACATCAGATAGAACACATAAACTAAACACAGAAATTGTTCGCCGGTTGTCTGTACGGATGACTGGATAGAGCTTGTCGACCGCGATTGTCTAGTTTGTTGACCACAGCTATCATGGTGTTTTCCGGTCGTCCCAGCAGTTGTTTGGGTGGACGACTGGTGAACAGTTTTTTGTGTTTAGCTTATGTGTTCCACCCTCTATGTGTGTAGCATTGCTATTCGTTTATTAGACTAAAGTGGAATAAAAATTTATTCTATCAAAATATTTATTTTTATTTACTAAAATAATGATAAAAAAATGCATTGTAATGAATCAAATGAAGTGTAAAATTATTATATGTCATTGCTTACATGGAGCTGTACTCGTGACAAGTGAAAAGTTGCAATCTACACTAATTAAGTCATTCTTTGTCTCTCATTTATTTAATAAAGATGGGTTATTATGGTTCGTTCATAACAATTTTCACTACGCTATTGATTTGGACCATCACATAAGTAATGTCACACGATATTCTAGAAGTACTCGGCTATAATGGAAAAAATTGATTCTTATACAAAATTTGTGACTATTATTTTTGTAAATAATACCAAAAATAAATTATATTTAAAAAAATAAAACATATTTTTGTGTATTTATTTAGAAAATTAATGAATTACCCCTTACCTTTACTTGTGTCCCTCCACCACCTCCACCTTCGCAACCCCGCTACCCCCAACCACTATTACCATTAATATAACTATTAAAGTATTAGTTTTAAGGTCATTATAAATAGCAGGTGTGGGACAAAAGTGGTTCTCCAATGGCAAGTTTTGGCAACTGCTATATTTGACAAATGTCAAAACTTGTGTCAAATTTGACACAAGCTTTAGTAGCTGCCAAATGTGCCAACTTACCAAAACTAACCGTTTCCTCCCCTTATCCTTCTCAGCAAAAACTCCCAAAATGGAAACAAAATTCACCAAAAAATAAAGCAAGAAAATAATAAATTTTGAAACTAAATTTCATAATCAAGCAGAATCAAGCCCAAAAAATAAAAAAATAAAAAAATAAAAAAATTGATATTTATTTCAACAAATTTCAGGAATTTCAATAAAAAAAAATCTCAATGTCAACCACAATTAGCATTTCTAAATTTGAAACTATCTAAAAAAAAAAAAATATGAAGCTAATTTATATTAAAAAATACCTAGATTTGAAGATGCTTTGGCTTCATCTTCTATGTCGCTACCGACCAATCACAACAGTTTCTACTACTAGTGCAGTAGAACCTCCATCACACCGACCCATTGAAATCTCCATCATTGACCCCTTGAAAATATCCTCCATACTACAGTAACCTCCTCTCATTCTTGTGGGTCAAACTTAAGCTCTTTGCCTAGATTTGAAGATGATTGTTTATTTTTTTTAATGTAGTTAATAATTTTTTTTTATTGGTATGTTTTTTGGTGGGGTGAATTATATTTAAATTTTTTTTGAAAATTTTTTAATTTATTTTTTATTTTTTATATTTGTCTAGTCAGGTATAATGCAAATATATAATTGTTTTTACAAGCAGTTGAAAAAAGTCACAAAAGACAAACAAATCAACCAAAAAAAAAAAAAAAAAACTTATATCTGAACAATACCTACAAACTTGGAAGAAAAGTTGGTTGAGATTTGCCAAAATAGCATATAACCATTGTCAAATTATAATAATAACAATGCTATTTTAGCAAATACTATTGGAGATGCTCTTATAGGTTGTTTAGGATGATCTAAATAAATATATTTTTTGTTTTTTTATGAAAATATATGCAGAAAAGTAAAGAGATGATGTGACCCAAATAGGTGCACTTATCTAAAAAAATTAAATACAAGAAAATAATTCTTATGATTTTTTTTAATAAAATTATTAGGCACATTCATCAAAACAAACGGAATGTTAATATTTTATTCTATTAATTTCCTTGAAGAATATTCTTATTTTTAGATAATAATCTCAAATAATGTTTGATTGATTGAAATTGAGGTGGAATGCCATTGATTTAGGTAGAATGAAATGAAATAATTATTTTTTACACTCTCAATAAAATAATTATTCTACCCTCCCAAAACATAAAATTATATAAAAATAATGTGTTTTTAAATTTTTTTTTCACCAATTTATTTTTTAGTTTCTTAGAAATTTTTTTTAAAAATAGATTTTGAAAATCAAATCAAACAGAACTTTACAATAAAGAAAGTTTCAACATTATT